GGTACTAATAAGATGACTTAAAGCAATATTAAAAATTCTTTTAGAGTAAGACTTTCAACTAGTTCAAAATCATTTTAGATATAAAATTTATATAATTATTATACAAAATCTTATTATATATAGTGGTGAAGATTAGATGATAGTTTTTTTTTTTTTTTTACATTATTGATGTATTTCTATTAAATTTTTGAAAAATTAATTTGAAATAAAAATAATTTATGTTGAAAACTTGTCATCCTAAAAACAAAACTACCTTCTATAGAAAAAATTCAAATATATGTTTTCCTTGAAAACTCCATTCATCAATTTCAAAAATGAGTTAAAAAGCTCCACAAGCTATATTCCAACACAATAATAGTTATTAGACATATTTCAATCAATAGTCTCTCACGGATCAAATTATTCGAGAAAATATATAACGTGGAAACATCACATGATTCACACCGAACTTACTAATTCACCATTCGGCACTGTTTAGCAAATTAAGGCTAACTGGTATGTCATTTTTTTTCTTCCAAAGACATGATCAATGACAAATTAGTAAATCTTAAATCATATTCCTTCAAAAGGATGACTATTTTCACCAAAGCTGGCAAAGAATTTGCATAACATGCATTATTGATGACGAAATAATAAATTGTGCCAGAATAATAAAATGTTTAAAGATATCAAATTTAAAAAGATGAATACAGTAGTAGATATGGATAAGACATGCTGGTCGTATGTAATTTTAGCAATAATTACTAAAAACATTAAACCCAAATTAAGGAAATTATATATGCAATTGTAGAATATGATTACTGGATATTTGGGGCAGTTGTACAAGTCCTTTTTCGCATTGGACCATTGACAACATTGACTGCTTGTCGTTATTGTAAAAGGGATGGTGATCATTTCACCACTCACCACCCACTTAAACCTACTACTACTAATTGCTCCCACCTTCCCACATATTAGTTTTTCTCTTAAAAACATGTAAATTACTTCAAGGTCTTTATCCATTAGATTGTATGATTATACACTAGAGTTACTAATGATAACCATATGGGTAGTTTATTATGTTCTTATAATTTAAAATTATCGCACCTCTAATTTTGTTGTCCAACATAATGCAAATAATGAGTATATCTACTTCAAGGTCATTATCCTTTTGTATGATTATACACTCAAGTTATCATTAGCTATAGTAATGATTATGCACTCGAGTTGTTAATAGCTATAGTAATTTATTATTAAGTTTTATTATATAATTAAAATATAAAACTATCCTTTCCTTTATACAAGAGTCGGATAGCTAATCTAATATTTAGATATGGGGACATAGAGAAAAAAAAACCGTGTTATGACGTATAGGGTCAACTCGAGTGACATTTTCTTAGAGTGATTTAATAAGAAAATTTTTGCATTGTTTTTAATAATTTTATTGAGTTGAAATATATTTTTAATTTTTTAAATTTAAGATAATTTTTTTTAGCTTCAAAAATTTAAAATTCATCATTTTAGTTTATGTAAATTTCAAAAATATTATTTTAATTCTTATACTTAATTTTTATTAAGAAATATATCAAATATTATTGTATAAAATATACTTATTAATATCTTTATTAATGAAAATATCACATTAAACTTGGTTAATTTTATATAATTATTTTAATTTATTATTATTATTGATAACTTAAGAGATTAAAATAAAATTTTAAAAGATTATTAAACAAAATATTTTTAAATTTAAGAAATAAAAAATAAATTTATCTTAAATTTGAGAAATTAAAAATATATTTAAGTATTAAATGTATTATTTCAAGAAAAATTAAGATGCTGAAAATAAAAAAGTAAAATCTATTTAAATATTAAATAACTAAAGTTTTACATTTAATACAGAAGTCTCAATTTATATATTTGACCAAACAAAATCGGTCTTTTGCAGTTACAGAATATCCTCAACTAGACAGCTGTGGAAGTTTTCAAGGATACAACTTTCAAGATTATGATAATTTAACATATTTTATTATATTTAAGTTTAAACGTCTTTTTTTTATAATAAAAAAAATCTGCACGGGAAGAAAGGAAAATAACATATCTTCGTTGATTGTTGGAAACTATGTTGATCACACACATATATGTAACATTATGTTATATTATATAAATTAATTTTTAAATAATTCATATTGTATAAATGTAAATTTAACAGTAAAAAAATACTTTTTTAAATTAAAATGATACTATAATAAAGTATTAATTATTAGATTTTAATAAATAGAATAAAAGTTCGTAAACTTAGAGTGTGTTTAGTAAATTTAGTTTATAAATTAGTTTATTGAATTAAAGGTGTTTGATATTATTTATTGGGTAAGAGTTGAAACATGATCCAGTATAAACTATAAGTTCAGGAGCTCAAAAATTGAAATCTAGAAACTTATAAACTAACTTATTGAATAAAAAATATTTGATAAAATTTAATTCAAATTGACGAATAATCATAAAATTATTTTATATGTTAATTTTAATTAATAAAATGAAATATTAAATAATTTTTAAATTTTAAAAATTTTAAAAATTTGATTTGTATATTAGAAAATTTTAATTTAATAATTATATCGTTGAAATTGAATATAAAAATATAAATTATTAAGTAAAATAATTTTATGTGCACTTATTCTTAAAATAAATAAATTTATTTTATCTCACACACATATTATATATATATATATAATTTTAAATCAGCATTTAATTATTTTCATTTATATTAATTCAATTGAGTTGGTTGAATGCTCAATGTTATATTTTATATGGATGATATAACAAAGAAATAAAATACGCCTTTAAACCTTTTTTAAATTATGCTTAACTCCTATCTTATAGAAATATATAAAAAAATCTTAAAAAAAGCAAAAAACATAATTTTTTTTTTTTATATAATAATAATAATAATAATAATAATGATGTTAATAATGATAATGTATTCTTTATTCAAAAATAAGTTTGTTGAAGCTAGATAACATCATTATAAATAATAAACTTTTATTTTATGGAACCGAATACAAAATTATTAATTAAGTTAAGATAAATTCATATTAATTAATTTAAACACCGATGATCAAATCAAAAGCAGAGTCTGAACCTTATTTGTCTTATAGTCAAGAGGACTCGATTTTTTTTTTTAAATTATATAATTATGTTATAATTTTAAAAAATATATTTTTAATATTTTATATCATATAAAGTGATATGATTACAATATTTTAATATTTTATGTTATTTTTAATGTATTATATTCATTAAAGTGTAAAATGTGTTTTTGGTTTCACTAATTCTTTTTATCTTATTTTAATCATTTTGAAGATGTACTACTTTTTGTCTTTATATAATATTTTATTATAAACGATGATATAAAAATAAATTGAATGAAAAATATAAAATAATTTTTAAGGATTTGTTAAAATTGTTATTTGTATAATATAATAAAATATGATATTTTTAAAATTTAATACCTCATTTTCTTTCTGAACTTTTTAGAAATTTTTAACAAGGTTCCTAAATTAAAAAAGAAATTGCAATTAAATTATTTATTATTTTATAATTTTGTAATTTAGTCCATATAGTTAAAAATCTCTTCATAATTTGTGAAATATGATAAATTTATTATATCTTCATACATATACAATCACATTAAATTATTATTTCATTTATTATTATGCATGTATAGTGAATTTTAGTCTATACTTGAAATTTTTTGTAATTTTTTTAACCACAAAAATTTTAGAATAGTAGAGAATTTTAAGAGATAAAAATTAAAGTTTAATACAAGTAAATCATGATATTTTTTATACTTAAGAAAATATAAGGACAAAACAAAAAAAAATACACTCTAATATGTAAGATATTCATGACAATAAAAATATTATGTCAAATTTAAGATTGAATAATAATATAATATTATTGTCCAAGTATGAAAATATAAAAATATTATATCCAATCTACAATCTTAAAAGATTAAATTATAAAATATAAAACAATGAAGAATCTAATTATAATTTTTTTAATCTAAAGACCTAATTAAAAATTTTCGGAATTTCCTATGAATAAATGATATGCTTAATTCTATTTTTATGCTATAAAATATTTATATATAAGAGTTGATACATTTTTTTTATATGAGAACAAGAAAAAAAAAGGCAGTTAAAGATCCCGAGGGATATTATTTTTTCATATGCATTGAAGCTGAATGAATACGGGAGTGTTTCTCAATGTTTAAGAAACATAAAATTAGGTTATTCTCCTAACACCACTTTAATAAAAATGAAGCGAAAATGAAAGGAGAGTAGAGTAGAAAAAAGAAGAAAAAAGGAAGTAAATAAGAAGGGGCCCAGATGCGAAAATGCAATTGGGCCACGTCAGTGATCCCTATAAACCCATCCTTTGATGAAGTAATGAACAGCGGTTTCCCTTCCAACGTTCACTCTCTGCTGCCATTGCCTATCTTATGAGACGTTCCAATTCTCCCTCGCCGTTACGCACAAAATAGAGCCGTTGCTGCAATGCCTCACTCACTCACTCACTCCCTACTATATATTTTATTTTTTCCACTCACTCTTTCATTTTGCATTTGATGCTATTTTTAGCTACCTAACTTGAGACAAGCCACCATATCCATTACATTATTCCTTCCCAAAGTACGTTCATTTTTCTCTCACACATTCTCGCTGTTAATTAATCTATTATTCAGCTGTCCAAGGTTTAACTTAAAGGCTCTTTTGTTTCTTTTTTGGAACATAGATTAGACCACATTCTTTCATCAGATCTATCTGCAAACAATAATTCTTTTTTTTTTTTTAAATATATGGCTTAGAGCCAAGTGAGTTTCAACTTGGCTTATCTTCCAATCAAATTTGAATTTTCTCGATTCTGCCATGTCCTCTGAAAAGTTGCTACGGAATAAAGACCCAAAAGATGCACCATATCGGCTACAAGTTCAACTCACTACTTTTCTATTTTTCTTTGTTTTTTTTTGTTGAACAAATTAAATAAATTATGTTACCCTTTTTTTTTAACTTGAAAAACACAGCCTGCAAGCTCATTCTTTTATGCACAAGTTTCTCAGTGTCCGCTTCTACTTTCTTAGACAATCTTCTAGGAATCAGATTTCCTTTTCTAGTTTCCACCCTTTTTTTAATTTTCATTCTCTTTTTCGGTTTTCCCCTTTGTCTCAAGAGGGGAATTGTGTCTTTTTTGTTTAAAAACTAACAAACTTGTGGTGATTCATTTCAGTCTATGCAGTGGTGGTCTTGGGTTGCAGTGTAAATAAGGTAGCAGAAGAAACTCCTCGTTCCTTGCTGCTTTTGGAAGTGTGGAAGGAAATTCTGAAATGGAATATCTACCCATTTTCTCTTTCATTTCAATGTTGTGTTTGGCTCTGTGGCATGGGAGTGCTGAACCTGTTGAAGACAAGGAGGCTTTGCTTGACTTTGTGAACAAGTTCCCACCTTCTAGGCCTCTGAATTGGAATGAGAGTTCCCCCATGTGTGCTTCCTGGACTGGTGTGACATGCAATGAAGACAAGTCTAGAGTAATAGCAATTAGGTTGCCAGGGGTTGGATTTCATGGCACTATTCCACCTGATACTATTAGCCGCCTCTCAGCACTGCAAACTTTGAGCCTCAGATCCAATGTGATAACTGGCCATTTTCCTTCTGATTTTTCCAATCTAAAGAACTTGTCTTTTCTCTACCTTCAGTTCAACAATTTGTCTGGTCCTTTGCCTGATTTCTCAGCCTGGAAGAACCTCACTGTTGTCAATTTCTCCAATAACCATTTCAATGGCACCATCCCTTTCTCCCTTAACAACTTAACTCAGCTTGCTGGTTTGAACCTTGCAAACAACTCACTCTCTGGTGAAATTCCTGACCTCAAGCTGTCTAGATTGCAGATGCTGAATTTGTCCAACAACAACTTGCAGGGCAGTGTGCCTAAGTCCATGTTGAGGTTTCCTGAGTCTGCATTCTCTGGGAATAACATTTCCTTTGGAAGTTCTCCTGCAGTTTCTCCCGCGGCGCCTCAACCGGCTTATGAGCCTTCTCTGAAGTCTAGGAAGCGTGGAAGGCTCAGCGAGATGGCTCTGCTGGGAATCATTGTTGCTGGTGGTGTTTTAGGACTTTTAGCTTTTGTTTCTTTGATGTTTGTGTGCTTCTCAAGAAGCAGTGACGAGGATGAGGCCTTCAGTGGAAAGTTGCACAAGGGAGGAATGTCTCCTGAAAAGGCAGTCTCAAGGAACCAGGATGCAAATAATAAGCTGGTTTTCTTTGAGGGATGTAGTTATGCCTTTGATTTGGAGGATTTGTTGAGGGCTTCTGCTGAGGTGCTGGGAAAGGGAACTTTTGGTACTGCATACAAGGCAATACTAGAGGATGCAACCACGGTTGTTGTGAAGAGGTTGAAGGAGGTAGCCGTTGGAAAGAAGGATTTTGAGCAGCATATGGAGATTGTAGGAAGTCTTAAGCATGAGAATGTGGTTGAGCTCAAGGCGTATTATTATTCCAAAGATGAGAAACTCATGGTGTATGATTACCACAGTCAGGGTAGCATCTCTTCCATGTTGCATGGTATGTACCACTGTTTTAGCTCATTGCAATTTGTTTTCCAATTCATATATGTTCTGGCATGTAATAACGCGCTTAAATCGATTCAAGTATAGATATATATGGTCAAATTGACCATTTTAGATTAATAATATTCGTAATAAAACGGGTCTGTTGATTATTCAAATAGCTTCATGTACATGTTCACTTCTCTGGTTTAGTTGTAGCTATTGACAAGCATACCTAGCTGTAAAATATACGAGGCATTCTTCTACTTATTTTGACAAGACTTCATTGGCCTTCCTCTTATAGATTAGACTCTTTTAAAATATTGTAATTTAAAATAAAGATTGTAAAGTGAGAAGGTATTTCCATCGTTTTGAATTAAAGTATATCGTAAAGGCCAACCCATTTCAAATCACTGGTGAATACTTATTTTGACAAAATTTCATTAGCCTTCCTCTTATAGATTTGAGTCGTTTAAACTAAAGATTGTAAAGTGAAAAGGCAAGGTATTTCCATTGTTTTGAATTATATACTGTAAAGTTAACTCATTTCAAATCACAGTGAATACATCTTTACTTTTTTCTCTCCTTACTTTACACATCTCTTTACTTTAAAGTGGCTAAATCCTCCTCTTGTGCATTAAAACTTTAGCAACCATGAGAGGGTGTGTGTGCATGTTGATACATTAGTCTTATTTCATCCTCTTTGACTTCTCTCATTTTAACTCGTAGCATACCAATTAAATCCTTATTCGTTATGTTATTACTATTTTGAAGAATGTCTGTCAAGCTTCATATTATTTACAAATGGTAAAGTTGTACAAGCACTTAAATATTGAACATTAACAATCAAATAAGAGAAATGTTAATGACACTCTCAATCTATTATTCTATGTATAATTTATTATTAGAGATAGTGTTGCTAACTTTTCTCATAAGATAATCTCACTCAGGAGGAAAGTAAATCTATTAGTGTCTTTCAATATTTGAGTGCTTGTACAACTTTAATGCCCAATATCTTCCAATCTCACACTGAGTGTACGTTTTACACAATATTTGCTGTTTTGCAACAGAAGTCAAGATTCAACATATGCAAATAATAATTTGTCTTCGAAATGCTAGTTTAGTATATTCTACAAATTACAGCAACATCTAAACACTGTCCTTACATGTAAAAGCCTTTCTTTTTTTTTTTTTCTGAGAATTTCAGGTAAAAGAGGAGAGGATAGAGTGGCTTTAGATTGGGATACTCGGCTGAAAATAGCCTTAGGTGCTGCAAGAGGCATTGCACGTATCCACCTTGAGAATGGTGGCAAGCTTGTACATGGCAACATCAAATCCTCAAACATCTTTCTCAACACCAAACAGTATGGCTGTGTGTCTGACCTTGGCCTGGCAACCATATCAAGCTCACTAGCCCTGCCAATCTCACGAGCAGCCGGTTACCGTGCACCCGAAGTTACCGACACCAGAAAGGCAGCACAGCCCTCAGATGTTTACAGCTTTGGTGTGGTGCTGCTAGAGCTTCTGACTGGGAAGTCTCCTATCCACACAACTGGTGGTGATGAGATTATCCACCTTGTGAGGTGGGTTCATTCTGTTGTACGTGAGGAGTGGACAGCTGAAGTGTTTGACTTGGAGCTGATGAGATATCCAAACATAGAAGAAGAGATGGTTGAGATGTTGCAGATAGCCATGTCATGTGTGGTGAGGATGCCTGATCAGAGGCCAAAGATGTGTGAAGTTGTGAAGATGATAGAAAATGTGAGGCAGGTTGATGCAGAGACTAAAATTTCTCAACGTGACACTGGTAACACTCCTTCCACTCCTTCCTACATCTTAAGAGGAAGTGAATGAAACAAACATCTTGCCCTTTGTTTCATTTTAGTGCATCTTGTCAATGTTTAGCTGTTATTATTCTCATTATTATTTTTTCCTCATATTTAAGTTGCCTTGCCTGAGTTGGTTTAATATTAACTGGTATTTGATTTGATCCTGCGTAAAAGGAAGTACCATGCGCTGGTACTGCAATCAAGTGGTTATAATGTGAACCATTTCTTGTGTGTGTGAACTGTGATTACTAAGTAGCAAGAGGTATAACAACTATTGCCCCTATTATTTTATATAGGAATTCTTTGAGAAATTTGCTTTATCCTTTTTAAGAAGATTCTCCGAATTGTCTGTTGTATCGATCATTTTTTTTTATATAAAAGTATCAGTATGTTTTTTAATGATCAATAAACAATGCATGTAAATTAATAAGTTAAAACCAACAATTTGTAATAGATTCGATTTCTTTAAGTAAGATTTTGAATCTAAATCGTGTGCATAAAAAAAACGTAGTTAAAGTTATTTTTTTTATATTAAAAATAGTTAGTCAAATTCTTTGATGGAAATTAATTATCAAGAAAACTTGTAGATATTTCATATGAATAATATAGTTTAAAAAAAACTAATAAGGATTAGCAAAAATTTCCTTAAATTAGAACTACGGTTTCTTCCCTTGTAAGTTGTATTTGTGGATGAGGAAGATGACAGGTTAAAAATTAAAATTGTAAAAATGTTTTAAAAATGAAGGGGTACATTAACTAAGTACCCTAATGAAATTAGGTAGCAAGACTAATGAGTCTTAATAACGTTAAGAATACTTTTTGAAGAAAAAAAATACAAATTATTAATAAATTTAATATTACTAATGAAATTAATTATAAAAGGTCTTATATATATATAAAAAAATATATGTAGAATTATTAGTCAGCAAAAAATTTGAGAATTTTTCTTCTGAAACGATGGTTTAAAACATGTGTTGGCATTTTAATATCTACTAGTATTTTAATTTGTGCAAAGTATAAGCTAACTAAATATATATTATATGTACTAAATTTTATAATAAATGAAATATACAAATAAATATTATATTTAAATATATAAATCATATTTGAAATTGATATAAATAAATAATTTTAAATATATAAATTATATTAAAGATTTATGATAAATACTTTATATTATAATATAATATTATTTTTATTTATTGATAATTTATTTTAAAATATTAAAATTTAATTTATAAATAATTATGGTAAATAAAAATTAAATTGGAAAAGAAGTTAATAGAATTCTTAAAAGTCTTATGGTTAAAGAAAAGTATTTAAAAATACTTTGTGTTTAATATATAAAAATTAATTAAAATTTATAGTATATTATATATATATATTATGTTTGAATATATAGTTCAGTCCAGGTAAGTTGGGTTAAAAGTAGACTGAATTGAGTTTTTGTACTAATTAAGAGTTCTTTTTTTTTTGGGCAGGTTTAGGTTGTTTTCAAAGTGGATCAAGTTAACTTGGGAGCTAAAACCCACTTTAACGGCTTCATTTTAAACACTTTAAAAGTTTATATTTAATATATAAAAATTAATTAAAATTTATAGTATATTATATATATATATTATGTTTGAATATATAAATTATATTTAAAATTATACATAAATATTTATTTTTTTATCGATAATTTCTTTTAAGTTATTAACATTTAATTCATAAATAATTATGATAAATAAAATCAAATTAGATAAAAAGTTAAAATAATTTCTACAAACTTTCTTGATAAAAAAAATTAAAAAATATGTTTGTGCAAGATAGAGATTCATGTTTAATATATAAGAGCTTATTTAATTTTTATTTTTTTTTACTTTTTAAACTTAATCTTATTTAATATATTTTTAAAACACTAAAAAAAACAGGAAAAATGAATTATCTTATATTTTTCCTTTATCTTTTAGTCCAATGTTTTAAGTATTAATTTATTTAACTAAATGAAGTTTTTTCTTAATATGGTTATATTTGTATTTTTTAATTTTTTTTGCCAATTTTACATTTAATATTACAATAAATTAAAATATTATTTTCTCAAGATTAATCTTTATAATATATTCATTAAATAAAATATTAATATATTGGACATGTTAATATGTTATTAAAAATATATATTTCATCCAAATTATTCTACCAAAATTAAATATTATTTTTTACAAAATAAAAAAAATGTATTTTTTATAATTATAATTTTGTTTTAAATTTTTTAATTAGAATTTTTTACAGTAAAATAAATTAAAAACTAATAAAATAGGCATATTGAATAACCCAATTCTGTTTTGGATCTCTTTATTGTTCTATTAATTATTTGGTAGTTCAGTTCTAAATTTAACTCTTGCCGGAATATTCTGATGTGCATAAAAGTTGAGAATCAATTATATCTTGGGAAGAATTTCCTACGTTATTGACCCTTGTTTTTCAACTTATTTGAGAAATTAATTGGCATGTTATTTTCAAAGATAATAAGGTTCCTCCCCAATATCAACAACAATGGAAGCATTCGCCTTGACATGATCATCATGGAGCCCCACAATGACCATATCAAAGGTTTATTTTTGGATGATTCTTTTTAGATCAACTTTCTACTTGCCGTTGTTAGGTCTATTAATATTATTGCTTAAATTTCTAATAACAAATAAACTGCTAGTATAAAGTTTCTTAGTTATTGTTTACCTGCGACTTCTTCTATACCTGGTTTCAAAATTCCATTATTTGCTACTCAAAAATTTCCATTTCTAATATTATAATGGCTTAACAAAATATTGATCCACGCTGCAAAATGTTAAAATAATATTTAATCAGTAAAAATCATGTTTTGTGAACAGATTAACCTTTAATTGTTAACTTTAACATTGTGTATGTTTATGGAAAAAAAAACTAGACGAATGTGAAAATTTTCTCTCTAATTGGAGTAATTTCAGGTCTTACTATCAAGTAAACAAATCCTACTGTTGATGGTCCATTGGGCCGAAGTAACCAGCACAGAAAACTCACTTCACTACAGTTTTCAGCCCAATTCGCAATTAAGTGGAAGTAGCCAACATGTAAAAGTTTGACTTAATATAAACGCTCATTTAGTTTCATAATATATTGGCATCCAAGTGAGTAGAAAATCCAGTAGATACTCACCAGTTTCTAGCAAAGACGTTGTTAACATTTTTATATCTCGATGATGGAAAATATTGCAATCCTGGTTTCCCATGTCAAAGTAGTTTGGGCTCTCGTTTATTGTTTTAGCCCATTCTCCAATTCAATCTTGGCAGATGTTAAACACACCTTCACTCTCGTATTAACACACCCCCTTTTTTTAAAAAAATATATAAAATGTCTAAATTACCCTTTAAAAAAAATGAAATTTCTAAATTTACATCTCCCTTTCCCGCACCTCCCTTATCCTGTATAAGCATGTAAATTTTAGTCTGGAACGACACTAGAACGGGCCGTTCTGCAAGAAGTACGGGCCGTTCTGCTTGCAGTACGGGCCGTTCTGTTGCAGTACAGGCCACCGCGTCACTTTTAAAATGGCTACTTTATGACTAATTTTAAAACTCCGATTTTAAAAGTCATTTTTGTACTAGTGTTTCTTTTCATAGAACAAGTAAGAGTCTTTCTCTTACAAGACCACCTGCTGACATTGCGCACCCCTCTTCTTTCTCTTTGTGACACTCCTCTTCTTTTTTTTTTCCCCGCACCTCGCACACCCCTCTTCTTTCTCTTTCCGGCACTCCTCTTCTTCTTCTTACTGTTACGAAAAGTTCTTTCCGGAATTATATAAAAATGTTCCGGAAAATACTTTCCATAATATTAAATTCTTATTCCGGAAAGTATTTTCCGGAAATGTTTTATTACATAATTCCGGAAAGTACTTTCCATAATATTAAAGTTATTATTACGGAAAGTTCTTTCCGGAATTATATGAACAATAATTTTACTATTCCGGAAAGTACTTTCCGGAATGCTAATGACTGTAAAAGTACTTTCCGGAATGCTAATGATTGTAAAAGAGCCTTTCTTATGCTGGTTATGGTGGGGCTAGTCCTTTTTTTCTATTCAGAATGACTGTAAAAGTATATTACTTAATGACATTGAGCGGAAAGAAACTTTGAAAAGAAGAGGGGTCGTAGAGTGTGGGGTGCGGGGAAGGGGGGTACGGGGAAGGGATGTGTAAATTTAGGAATTTCATTTTTTTTAAAGGGTAATTTAAACATTTTATATATATTTTTTTAAAAAGGGGTGTATTTATACGAGAGTGGAGTTGTGTTTATCATCACCCTTCAATCTTAGGCTTCGAAAATTATTGAAATCACTACACGTGGGCCACAGCACATATTACGTTATGCCAGCCTTATGTGGGCACTGTTTTATTTAAACTAGTATTATATGTTCTGAATTGTATAAAGTAGTGTTTATTTTTATATAATTAAAATTTCTAATGAATAAATATTTTTTAACATGAATTATATTATAAGTAAACATCATAATAAATAAATATTCTTAAATATATAAATCGTTTTTTAAATTTACAACTCATCATTTAAATTGTGTTATACTTATAAGATGGTTTTCAATTATTGATATTTACTTTGAAATAATTATTTAAATCAAATTTAAAGATAAAAGTAAAAAATATGATAGTTTGAAACGATTGAGGTTTTTTTTTTTTTTTCCAGTCAATTGTGAAAGTAATGTGTAAAACATACCTTTAAAGGAGAGGAGTTGTAAAAAGAAGAGAGAGAATACTGAGAATGACTAATTGAAAGAGTAGGAAGAGTGAGAGTTTTATTATTCAAGTTATATATAGGAGGAGTTAGTTAAAATAAATTGGTGAGGAAAAAAAAAACTACCCATCATATATGGATTATGGACCACCCACTGCTTCAGTAAGCACGTCTGTTAGTCAGTTACTTTAAGAGTCCTTTGACCCAAAATGAAAAGGGATGTCCTAAACTAAAGAGCTAAAAGGAATTCTCCCTCTACCTGAGAGGCAGTGCCTCACTGTAACTCAACACTAAATAGGAAACTTAACAGGAAAAGGGAAACATAAATGACTTCAATAACAATGTAATATAAAAACTTTGAATGTATATGTTAGAATTATAAAATAATAATTTTAATCTTTCACTCTTTTTTTTTTTTTTTTTAATTCTAACTTTCTCGCCAAATTGCAAAGAACATTTCCCCCCCCCCTCTTTTCTCTCTTATTTTCATGTGTATAAAAGAATATTTGTTTATAAAAAAAAATGTATTC